ACCGGGGAGCGTGGGGGACGGTGGGGGACGGTGGGGAAAGGCTGGCGGTTTAAGGGACGGCAGGGGACGGTGGGTGACTGTGGGTGACGGTAGGGAACTGTCGGTGGATGGTCCTTTACTCTTATGTGTCGGGCAAGTTTAGGAAAAGACCGGACGGGACGACACAATGCAGTCCGTCCTGGTCCTTCATTCCTACTTGTCGGGCATGTTGAGAAAATGACCGGACGGGACGACAAAATGCCGTCCGTCCTGGTCCTGGTCCAGGACCGACGGACTGCCCCGTTGCGAACACTGACAATGGGCTGCATCGATCAGTTCTAAAGTTGGTTGCGTGGGACTTGGCAGGGTGGTATGTGCATAGAGATGGGGGGGGTCGGAATACTCTGAGCTAAAGGCTCGGAACTCAAAAACAGGAGAGGTGGTGGTTGGTCCTCAGGAGGGTATTTGTGTATAGGGTTCTTAGTCTTCCGCGGTTTGTGGGATTGTCGAATTTGGGGGTCGAGAACCGGCATGGTCGTTTTTTCGGTTGGCCGACTTATTCTGTGGAGGTATGTGAGTGGGGGTTGAATCGGTAGCTGGCTTTGCGTTGGCGTTGGCCAAAGGGCCTTTTTTTTATGTCATGGGGGATCTTCAGGGATCAAGTGTCAAAGATACTATAGGAGTCGCGCTTTTCTCCACTTGCGTCAAACCTCCTTAGGAATACAGCTCGGTTGTTGCCCTCTCCTAGTGACTAGACTTGTGGAGTCGCAGAACACCCATCGCACCGGCTATGCCTTCGTCAGCCCCTGCTGGAGGGTTGTATCACTAGTTATCTCTCGGCGGAGGCTTCTGTTGAGACCCCTGGACACCTGAAGACGCCTGGCAAGCATTGACATTTACTGAAGTACGGTAGAGATACCAGGGTTAAAAGGTGTGCGGAACTTAAGAACAGTATGTGGGAGTTCTTTTTGTTATGAGAGAGGGAGAGGCGAGGTGGCTGAGAAAAGAAAGTAAAGATAAAGTAGATAGAGGTTTCTTGAATGCTCGTGTTGCTTGTCCTTTTTTATTTCTATCTGGGGAATAGAAGGGGGTTTATATAGACAGTTCTAGATACAACTCCCAACTAATATTTCTTCCACCGGTATACTCATGGATGTGGCATTTCACATGAGTCCGAGACCCTTCCAGCAGCCGTCACAATCTCCGAGGTTGATACGACCTGAACTCCTGCCTAGGTGAATACCGAGACAGCCTCAATCCACCGAAGAGTATCGAAGAGTACCGACAACTACCGAAGACCTCCGAAGACTACCTAAAACCCAATGAAACATAATATGAGAC